TATACTTTCTACTGGGGTTCCAAACCCCTTAGAGCTACTTCTGACGGCTGGGACAACTTGGGTCTCTGGAAGGGCAAGGAGCCGTGGCATCCGTGGCAGGATGATGAAAGTGACCATGACCCAGATGATGCCAAGGAGGAGATGGACCTCAGGCATTGCCAGACCTCCGGTGTCTCTCCCTAAGGGTCCAAGACCCAAAAATAGGGTTTTAGGGCCCAAATACCATTAATATTACTGGTATTTGAACCCTAAAACCTTGTTATTTAGGTCCTTGGACCCTCAGGGTCTTTCATCCCCAGAGACCACGGAGTTGTCCTCGAGCTCCTGGTCATAAGCTTGCGTTGAAGGATGAGGCTTGCGCGTTGTCTGCACAAGCTTGCGAATCCTCACGACTCATACGATAGTTTGTTGTAAATAGGGGGACCTGCATAGACCCCAAAATATTACAATCCTCATACTGGGACCCTCAAAAATTGGTACCGATCATTTTGGGAAATCGCCATCATGATGTTCACAAAGTCCCTGGTGCTTCTGCACCGGTACCCATAAATTTCCTCCCCCACCAAACCAACCTTAAACCCCAAAGACCTTCAGCTTTAGGAGTGATTTTGTCTTTGTGGGTTTAGGGTTTAGGTTTTGGGTTTAGGGTTTAGGGCCTGAGAGAGAAGACTTTTAGAATCAAAGGACCTTCAGTCTTAGGATCTCATATGGGCGGTTGTCAAAACTATGGGCCCGTTGTTGGATCCCGATTAGAGTACGGCACCTAATATTTAGGGTACCCGAACGGGGACCATAATTTTGACAACCACCCATATTGGGATTGATATCATAAGGACTAAGCCCTAAACCCTAAACCCTAAAACCCTTAGCCCTAAGCCTTGACAAAAACTTGTCCCCAAAATGGTCGCAAGGTCGGTTCCCTAAGGGTCCAAGTACCCAATAATTAGGTCCCTTTAAAGGGGAGTATATAGGGGTATATAAGTTTTAGGGTTTAGGGGTTTAGGGTTTAGGGTCCAAGAACCCCATGATTAGGTCCTTGGGTTTGGGGTAATAGTAATTCTAGTATAGGGTTTGGGCAAGTATATGATAATTGGGTACTTGGACCTTTAGGGGTTCCCGTTTTTGTCCAGATCTCCCCATTGAGGAACTCATTTCCCCCCATGTGGATGGCCACCTCCTTTACGTACAAGGACCTTTAGTACAACCCTAACCCTTCATCTCCACAATCATTCCCAAACCTACATATCCGTATGTAACCCCCACAAAGCCCTTCGAACCATAATCCGCAAACCCTACATGTCCCTCTGTAAGTGCCAGTATAAGCCCCGTTTACAGGATTTTTGTTCAGCCTGCTGGAGGCGCTCTTCATCTTCAATGTCTTCTTTCCCATGTACCCTGCAGATGGAGCCAAGCTACTAGTGCCCGTCTCAGAAGACTTGGGTTGGGGTTTAGGGTTTGCGGTTGACCTAGACCTTAGGTGGACCCCCCACCCAGTAACAGTGACTATAAGGGATAATAAGCTCTTGTATTTTGTTCCTAGTATACCACGATTACAGGGTGGCGGGTCCTCCTAAGGTATAGGATTTAGTAATTTCTGTGTTTGGGGTTTCTCTGGTAGTTTCCATAGATAGCCGGTCCCAGTATAGACTCAGAATGCTGTGGTGAAGCCCTAAAACTTAGAGCCTGAAGCCTAATCCTCATTATCGGGACCCACTAGAACAGTGGGACTGATTTTTTCGGGTTTCCCTAAACCCTAAACCCTAACCACTAAACCTTCATAACCTATTTTAGGTGCCTCTTTTTCAGTGTCCCTGGCTGTTATGTCGAGTATAACCCACATGCAAAATTGGGTAGGCCAAAAAAGGATAGTGTATGAGGGTCTAGGGAGGGTCCGTGGCGAAGAATTTAGGCCGCAAATAGGGTCTGGGGTTCGACTTGAGAGGTTTTAGGATTTAGGGTTTAGGGTTTAGGATTTAGGGCTTCAGTTTTAGGGCTTTGGTCTCAGGACCTGTTTCTGGGTCTGCGTTCCCAGGCCTCAGGCGGCAAGAGCACTTCAATAGTTTCAAAAACTGGGGTCGCAGATTCTGCGCTCCTAGGTACACGGTGCCGCATCGCAACAAGCAGTTGCCCAAAGCCCCTGGAACTCGAAGTCTGCAAATACGGTTGATATTAACATCCTGCATGACTACCAATACCTTAAACCTTGGGGAATAATGGTATTGCAGTAGATCAGGGTCATGGAGGAGTGTTTAGCATCAACAACGGTACCCCTTTTCAGGCTTAAACCCTAAACCCTAGACCCTGATAACCCTAACATGATATCTGCTTCCGGTTCTTTGGAGCCTTAGGGGTAGACCGACTGATTGCCTCTAGTTCAGGTTTTAGGGTTTGGGGTTTATAGGGTTTAGGCCCTGGGTGAAACTCAGAACGGTAAATTCTAGACCCTTTCAGCCCCTGGCGAGAAGGCCCAGATGAAGGCCCCTAAAGTCCAAACCCTAAACCCATTAAAAAAAAAAGAAACCTAGATCCTGTAAACCCTAAACCCGAAACCCTAAACCCATTATGAACACTAAGCAGTCCTTCAGGTCACCAGCCTCATGTTCTTCTGCGGCGTTCCCGCGCGGAAGGTCCTCCCAACATGGGTTCAGGTTTACGAATTAGGGTCTAGTGCCAACGTTCCACGGTTTGGCTCTCCGGGTTTAAACTTGACCCTATATAGGCTCTAAGGACTCATAATTTTGAGGGTTTTGGGCCCAAAGACTATGCTATAAAACGCTTTTGGGCTATTTTGAGCCTTAGCCTTGGGGGTCCAAGGATTAGGGCCCGGGAGCCCGCAACAACGAGAAGCAAAGAAGTTTCTCCCATCAACAACTTTTTGTAGATTCGGGTTCTGACCTACGAAGTTGTTGTTTTTGGAACAGCCGTTAAGTTTGTGGTTGTCCGAGTTCGCAGGCGTGCCTTAGAGTTTAGGGCTTGCAGCCTCTTGAACCCTGAGCCCTGAACCATCAAACCTAAGCGCCAGACCCCAAACCCCAAACTCTAAACCCTAAACCCTAAACCCGAACGGTACAACCAAAACCTGGGGGCTAGGATTTCGCAGGGCTAATCGCCGGCTAGATGAGCTGCAGCCTAAAGTCCTGAAAGGTTGATTTTACAAAGGATTACATGGGGAGCATGATCGGCTTATATAGGGTTTAGGGTTTAGGGATTACATAGGGAGCATGATCGGGCTTATTGAGGGGGCTACTAGGATTTTGGATCACCGCTCAGATCAGCATGCAGTGGTCGCAGCGGCATACTTTGGGGGGGTCCCGCGGGACTTAGGAAGCAGGGTTCGGTTCAGGGTTTAGGGTTTGAGGTCGACATGTTCAGCCCCTATAAGCCGCATAGTAACCCGGCTTAATTCCACTGCTGTACGATCTACTAAGTCTCTTGACCCAAGCCTTACAGCCCTGAAAATTATAGAGTAGTTTCCATGTGCTGGTCCGACATGCGGGTCCGTTAAACGGCATATAGTGGTACCATGAACCTAAACCCTAAACCTCAAACCCTAAACCGATTCCCTTGACTCTGCAAATAGGAGCTTATCTGGTATGGGCGGTCCCATGAAGACTTTGAGAAGGATCCTCTGGGTTTAGGGTTTAGGGTTTTGGAAACTACCGCGTAGACTCCAGGGTTTAAAGTAGACATTAGTTGGAGCTTCCGGGAAAGGCTCAATCCTTAAAACCCACAGTAAAGGCTATAGTCCCTCTGAAGTAGATAGAATATGGGTTTGGGTATATTATACTAAGATGCCCAGCTACCCCATATTCTATCTACTTAAGGGGGACTAGAAGTCCAATGGCTAACCCCTGATCCCTTAACCTCAGCCTCTACTCCCGGAGCCGTAATCTCTTACCCCCAGAGCCCTCAACCCTAAATCCTACTCCCAAGGCCCTAAACCTTATATCCAAATCCTACTCCCTCAGCTTTAAATCCCAAGCCTCTAAATCCAAACCCTAATCCCTAAATTGCATGCAATCCTTGAACCTTACTTCCCCAACCCGTATCAGGGGTAGGTCTGCGCATTTCTTCAGTTTTCTTTGCCTGAAACCCTGTATCATCCCTAGACAACCAGAAGGTTCGATTTAGACCCTTAACCTTCTGGGGTTCCCTTTGCTCCTGTTACTGGTACCTACACTAAACCCTAAACCCCAAACCCTAAACCCCAAACCCCAAACCCTAAACCCCAAACCCTAAACCCTAAACCCCCAAACCCTAAACCCTTAACAAACCCAGGCGGCCATGGTGTTGATTTGCACCTCGGTGCCTTGCGCGCTGCTGATGATTGCTCCCCGGTAGCTTTAAGATTGGTCGCAGCTATGGGGGGTTTAGGCTTTAGGGTACATGTATAGGGGTATATGGGAATATTTAGGGGTATTTGGGGTTTAGGATTCAGGGTGATCATCCCCAACAATGCAGAATCTGATGGACAAGAACGTGGAAAATGAAATGGAAGCTAGGGTTATATAGGGCTTCATTCAGTTGAGGTTGTATGCGAAAGTGGGGGTTGATCAACAGGCCTCTTGGGGAAGGGTTTGGGGTTTATTAACGGATCCCTAAACCCTAAATCCTAAACCCTAAACCCTAAACCCCTAAAACCCTAAAACCCCAAACCCCTAAACCCCTAAACCCAAAACCCCTAAACCCCTAGAAAGATGATTGAGAATTTACGGGGTTTCGTCACGGGGTTTAGGGCGGGATCCTTGGGTTCGATTGTACGGTTCAGGGTTTAGAGTTAAGGGTTTAGGGTTTAGGATTTTGGGAGACCTTCAGAGGGCTACACTAGCGGCATGTGGGTTCTATAAAGGCTATACCCTACACCCTAAACCCTAAATCCTAGAATCCTGACCTGCGTACAGGCGACATTTTTTTTGGACCCTAGCTTCCTTCAATAATCTGGATCAATGTTAGGGATCTTTTTGGGTTTCCTAATTTTCATGTAAAAGGGACCTTTTCCTTCCTAGGGTAATGTGGGCTAAGTGATGCAAGAGAGTGAATATTTACCAAAACCAATACGGCATGTTCGTGGTGATGAGCATAATGTAGGGGCCTGAACTATTGCCAACGTTGTGGTTCCTGGTTCCTAGTATGCGTATGGCATAAGGTATCTCAAATAGACGTCAAAGCGATTTTGGGTAATTACTTCGGTCTCAGCACTCGACAGTGTTTAGATTCCTTTGCGGGCATGCTCTATTAAAGATCATTGCCCTCCCTGCGCTGCCCCTAATAGCAAGCATCCGCTAATTTCAATTGTACCCTCCCCCACTCCAATGTACGAGATCTCTTCCCCTTCCAGGAAGCATCCGCTAGTGTTGACTATATCCCCCAACGTATGAGGTCTCTTTCAGGGGATCGTGAAGGTTAGGGGGTGGGGGGTATCTAGCATAATTAGTGGAAGGGGTTACAAGCTTTGTCGGTGTTGCTGTGACAACGTAGGCAGCAGTCCTCACGTAGCACCACTTACTGTGTAGGGTTATCTGGCAGTTTGCACCCTAAACCCTCATACCCTAAACCCTAGGGGCAACCCTAAACCCTTAACCCTCTGGTCTCACAGGGCTACATGGGTGCCTTATAGGCTCGCAGCTGCGAGCCGCGTGCAGCAGACAATTTCGCGCTTCACAAGGCTTTCATGCATGTCCTGACTGAGATTGTTGTCAAAGCGTGCCAGCAATCCTACCCCAAGGCTGCATATACCCCATAAGTAGGTTCTATTTGGGTAGTAATTGTATTACATCTTTGGGGTAGGTATATGATTATCAGGTATTTGGACCCTTACCCTAGGGCTCCATGTCTATAAGTAAGACCTAGACTAGGGCTACTGCACTCTGGATTGATGTCCCGACTTAGAACAGTCCAAAAGGTGCCAGGATCCTATTGCTTAGGGCTTAGGGTTTAGGGTTTGCGGTTTAGGGTTCAGGGGCCCATGAGCCTCCGATATAGCACAACCCTCCAAAATGCAGATATCTCGAAAGAAAAGCAGCCTCATTTAGGGCCTAATATGTGGTCATCCTCATTCTAAGAGACCTCTAATTGTGTGGAAAGCCCTGAAGGTTTAGAGCTTAGGGCTTAGGGAAATCCCAAAAAGAGTCAGCACGGCGTGAACAACACCCACAGTCTAAGCACCTCCTCAAAACCCCAAGCCCAAAAACCTGAGACCTCAACGCTATAAGGCCTACAAGCCCTATAAGCCCTATGAACCCTTAGCCCTCAAGCCTGAGGGTTACACCATCTATGGACTGACTCAAGCCGGCGTCCAAGGGTGCTTGCCTTAGTCTGCTGAGGAGCCCTTCCCTCCACAAAACTAAACCTGAAGCCCTAACCCTAATGCCTGAACCGTGACGCAAAATCGAAAAGCCAAGGAATTCCGGGCGGGCGGGGTACGTAGGGGTTACGAGGGTATGTATTTCTCAGGGCTTTCGGGTTCACCCTAGCCAAAGACTAACAAGGAAGCCAGTACCGCCCTCTGTTTAGGGTTTGAGGTTTATTAAGGGTTAGAGTTCAGGGGTTAGGGGTTTAGGGGTTAGGGTGTAGGGTTCAGGGAGTAGTCTTGAACGAATTTGCGTTGGCCTTCATGCATCCAAGGTCATTCGGAATTGTCCAGGAATGTAGTAACAATATAAAAAAAGTATGAGTAACAACAATAGTGGTAATAATAGCCAATGATGGCATAGTCTTTCTAGAGCTCAGGGCTTCAGCTCGACATGTAGCATAACCTTCAGAAGCGAATGATGAAAGGGAAGATAAGCAAGCCCATGACAAAACAGCAACATCAGGATGGTAATTCCAAATCCATCAGTAAACCTATGCTTAGTTACTAAGTCATCTGCTCCTGTGGTTACCTGGGGGATCCTACTTGAACACTGCTATGATACTAACAGGAATGCAGGAAGATTCAGGCATTTCAGAATCTGCCACTTCTAGCCGTAAGGCCTGTAGCATCCCAATGTGCATGCTTTATGCCATGCCTTCGGGCTTTGTTTCTTTAGTACGTGTGGGCTAGGGTTTAGCGTTCGGGTTTATAGGGCTGAAGGTGTTTAGTAAGTAGCTTACCCTAGAACCCCAGTTACCTATATATTGGGTTCCTGTCCTTAAGTCCCTATATACATTTATACTATCTATAACCCAAGGACCTACTATATGGGTACCTGGGCTTCTAGGGTTTCAAGTTATAAGCGATAAATTGGGTTGCTGTTAAGGAACTTAAATTAAGTTACTATATTGAGGAAACCCTATTATTTATTATATATACCCATTATGGTAACTTAATTTAAGTTCCTTAACAGCAAGCCAGTAAATTGGGATATACGTCCCCGAACTGGGGTTGCCTGCCGGCCTTCTTATACTTTCATCCGCAAGCTGCATATCAAGTCCCCTTACCCTCCAAGCATCACAGATCATATTGGCGTTTTATAATGTACTAGTACCTGCCTAGACTTCACCCCCCAGTTCCCCAAACCTTGAATGACATCCTTGAACCCGAAACCCAAAACTCTAACCTAAACCCTAAACCCCTAACCCCTAAACCCCTAAACCCCAAAACCCTAAACCTGAAAGCTAGATCAACTCAGGGCTCATTGGCTTTCCCTGACAGAAGTTTCAAAGGGGTCCCAAAAACGCTACGTAGGAGGTACTTTCAATATCAGGCTTATGAAGGGACCCTTCAGGGTTTAGGATTTAGGGTGTAGGATCTAGGGTTTAGGGTTGAGGGTTTAGGCTTATGAAGGGACCCTTAACAGTGGACGGAGGGGTCGCTTTTGTAGTTTAGTCTAGTGCTGAATACTGTCCGCTACAAGGAAGCCATGTCCATTAAGTATCTGGGAAATATTGACTGCAACTCATAAGACATCTACACATCTATATATTTATATACATATATATATATATATGTATACACGTCCCCACACAGTCCTTAAACCCTAAACCCTGATTGGATAACCGACGAGGATTATGGGCGGGCTCATGGGATGGATGGGAGTCATGAGCTTGATGGAGGCAACCGACTTCAGGTTTTTGGTGTAAGGGTGAAAAGTCAACCGCGCTGCTATTCATAGGGGTTTAGGGTTTAGGGGTTTAATTACTATAGTAGGGAATCCCCATTATGCACTACATACTCATAATATGGTAACAAGAATAAAGTCCTTAACAACAGCCCGGTTAAGAGCTTAGGGCGTTGACGGGATTTTGACTTCAGGGTTTACTGGCCCCAAATGCATGGGCATCAGCATATGTCTACATGCATACATACTTAACCCAAAACCCCAAAACAATATATATATATATATACACGCATATATAGAGTTGTGTGTATATATATATACACACATGTATGTGGATATGTGTTTATGTATATATATATATATGCTGGAGGGTCAATGAAGGGGGGGGACTGGGACCCTTGCTATGACTATGAGGAGAGCTACGGGGCCTATAGTATAGGGATAGGGTGTGATTTTGGGGGGTGTTTAGGACTTTGGATTTTGAGTTTCGGGTCTAGGTGATCTGGCTGGGAGAAAGAGGTGTTTGGGTTTGGGCTTTGGGTTTCAGCTTTATCTTTTAGAGTTCACGTTGTTTAGGATTTAGGGCTTGGTATTCAGCATCGTGCGTTCATTCAGGGGTCAGCTACGTGCATTGGTGATATCTCAAAGTAGTGGTAATTCAGGGGGGCAGGGACACATCAAAGGAGATAATTGGGGGGAGCACTTTGCAATGTGATGTCCACTTACAACGATTTAGGGCTTAGCGCTGTGTAGGGTTTCAGGATTTAGGGCTTATCCTAAGCCCTGGACCCCTAGGGGTGAGGTGGGTGTATGTGGTACCTTAGCTGTTGTTGCGGACGCAAGATTGAGAAATTCGGAAAGCTTCTACTGGGTCACGGTTCCCCTGAAGTGGCCTTGAATAAACCCTAACTCTCCCTGGATAACTTTCAGGCGGGGGAACCTAAGGGGGGGTTAGTATAGTGGGGTAGTAGGCGGACCCACGATTCGAGAATGAGGGCCGAATTGGGCGAGGGCCCGCTGTCACCCTAAACCCTCAACCCTAAACCCTAAACTCTATTCATTCATGCCCTGAACCCTAAACTGGGAGCTTGCAGAATGAGTCGTTCTATTCCAGCGTTTTCCTGGCATGATTCCAGTACGCCATGCTCTTAAGCCCGCCCTTATCATGATTCTTCGGGTCGAGGCCCCTCATTTTTGCAGGGTGTTTGGGGGTGGAGGGGTTATGACAGGCGATAACTTGTAGGGATTGTTTGGTAACCTTCATCCCCAATGAAAGCGGAGATATTGTTCCATGGTCCTAAATTTTATGGTTCCCGCTACTACCTCTCCGCCCCCTATACTACCCGCCCCTGGGTTCCCCTTACTTAGCCTTAGTTAGCTTTAACTATCCCTAAAGCCGCTTGCTTGAGGCGGAACCTAGCACGGATTGTATAGATGGATAGTAGGGGAGACTGAAAATTGGATGGCAGTGTTATGACTCAGACTGCCACCGAAGATGAAGATCCTAAACTTTAGGGGGTTCAAGCTGAAGCGATTTGAAGCTATGATCTCGGTTGTTAGCCTCCTCAAACTAACATGGAAGCCGAGGTAGACTGTTTGAAAATAGCAGTAGTCCTTGGTAGGTTTAGGGTTTTGGCTTTAGGGTTTAGGGGGCCCCTTAGCGGCTTCAATCTTGTTTGGGGGAGTACTTACTTGTATTGTACAACCCTCAGAGGCGACCACGGGATGCGTTACTTCATTCCCGACCACAAGAGGCAACACATGGCGCTACAGACTCCACACCCCTGTCAGTTTCCTTGCTGGGGACCTCTGATGATGATAGGGTGTCTCTGTGTCATCATAAGTTTTTGCTGAGCGTGCACCCCCCAGAAAGGTTTTAAGGTCACTAAATCATGCTCAGTTCAAACTGATGGGAGTCATGTGCTGCAGCCAACATCGGCTCGAAAGCGCTAGGCTCTTGAAAGCCTTGGGACTATGTGCCATGCTTCGCGTTGGGATGTTGGTGTCTGGTAGAGACCTCCTTGCACTTGAAGGAGGAGAGTTGAAGGACCCAGACCACTGTTTCTGGGGGCTCATCAGGGTTATATACGGGTATATGGGGATCATGCAAAAGAAAATGGTTGCTACTATGATGTGTTATATAGGGGTCAGGGTTCAGGCAAGTCAAAACACGTACGTGGTCTCGTTCGTGTGTGCTGACGTTGACGGACAAATCCCTGCAAGTCCCATTCTAAGGTTACTGCACTTTCCCCATTTGTAGGTGCTTGCACATGTTTTTCCCTGTGGTATGGCCCCGAATGTGGAGCGTACCCCAAGACAAACCTTAGTTTTGACGACCACTCCGTATAGTGCCACGCTGTTTTCGCCTAGTTTAGCAGTAAGAAGTCCGAGTCCTGGAAGGACATTCTGGCCGCAACTCGTCCAGTTCGTGCTCTCAAGCAAAGGTTGCAGGGCAAAAGAAGTTTAGGTCGAGGGTTTAGGGTTTAGGGTTTAGGATCCAGGGTTGTAGTCGCTAAGACCTAAACCCTAATACGGGGGTGGAGGAAAGCCTGCGCCACCCTTAAAGCAGCAATAATCGGAATTTCCTGACTCAGTGGGTCCAACGGTGTGTAAGACTTCCTCCATCCTCCTTAGCCGTAAGCCAGGATTGTGACCTGCAAGAACTTGCCCAACATCATATTGGTTGCTGGTAGGGAATGCAGGAATGCAACCCTATAGGAGCTCCTATATCAACCTCTATGGTGTGGTTGGCCTTTCCTTCGCACTCCTTCATTCCCTAAATCGCAAAATTAGTAGTTTCTCTTCCTTTGTTTCCTGCCAACAGCTCTTGTTTTTTGCGTATGTGGGCCCTTCCTTCAATTCCGAAGGTCAGCGGCAAATGCGGACGCTTAACTCCAATGCCTTTCGGTCAGTCAGAAATCTATACAGGCACCCAAGATGAACAAAAGGGACAGTAGCAAAAAATTGCTCCTCAAATAAACATCGGTTATTGCGATGTAGGCATCCACTTAGCTGTACAGCCTCCGTCTACTTCGCACGTCATATTCGTATGCGAACAGACCAGTTACGAACCGCAGGGACTTCGTAACCAGACATCAAAGACAATTCCCTACAACAGCCAGCAAGAACCGAAATCCTTCTATCATCCCAGCGGACAGTTCATCTTCCATTGTTTGGTGCTCCATGATTTTCCCCGAAACCTTAAACCTTTTATTAATACCTATATATATACACATGTATATATACATATATACATACATGTATGATTTGTAATGTGCTTGTCACCTCCGCAATTGCAGCAAGAAAAAGGTTGCAGGGTCCATGTGGCCAAACGCGGTTTCGACAGCGTCTGCTCTCAAGGAGCGGCACGCTGCTGGAAGATGCCGCAAAGCTTGATACTTCGCAGATTCGGGTGGGTTTAGGGTTTGGGGTTTAGGGTGGCAGGGTTCACGAGGCAGAGGGGCCAGGGTTTGGGATTTTAATCGGGCAGAGAATTTGGTTTGCCTAGGCAATAGGGTGTACCGGGCACATAGGGTTTAGGGTGCAGTGTGTATACGCATGGTGTATAGGGGTTTGGGATACATGAGGGTCTTGAACGAAGGCTCAAAGGTGCAATGGAGGTAGCCGGGTGGGTGCTTGTTACATGGACCTTTTTTGTCTATGACTAGCGGAATTCGTGCCCACAACCCCTAAACACCCTCAGGCCTAAACCCGCAAACCCTAAACCCGCAAACCCTAAACCCGCAAACCCTAAACCCTAAACCCAAAACCGCAACCCGGAGCATAGGATGTTTCAGATGATCTTCAGTTGGTTCTGGTTGACTGGCAGCCGGTGCTGGACCAGCAGGTGCCAGTTGCTGGGTTTAGGGCTTAGGGTTTAGAGTTTTAAGGTTTAGTTTAGGGCTTAGGGTTTAGAGTTTTAAGGTGTAGTTTAGGGCTTGGGGTTTAGAGTTTAGGGTCTAGGGGGAACTCGGTTTATGTAGGGGGAACTGTACCATACACGAGACGGCTTCCCCAAAACGAAAAGCTTCCAACAAAAGAACCGTAATATTCAGGACCCCGCAGATCTTCAGGGATAGTGAGTATAGGAGGCCCCACTTAAGGGCTATGTGGGGGTTAGATTGCCAGACCCGAAGCTGAGGCTGTCAATCTCCCCCAAACCAAACAGACCTATTGTAAGAAAAAAAATACCCATTACACCCCAAAACCCTGCCATCAGCAAACTCTACACCATTTATGGCAGCTTTCATAAATAGGGGACCCCAATATAGACCCCATAGTATCATAGTCCTGATCATTGGCAGTTTTGGCAAACCCCAAGACCCTTAACCATAGATATCCTCAAAGAACCCCTACATCCCCTCTAAACCCAAAACCCTAGAACCCCAAACCCTAAACTCTAAACTGTCAGCTTGGGGTCGTGGGTTCTCGGTTGACGGCAAGTAAGGGCTCACGGACTAGCGGGCTGCTCCGAAGGAACTTATGTAAAAGGTTGAGGGCTTTAGGGTTTTGGGTTTTAGGGTTTAGGGTTTTAGGGTTTTAGAGTTTACTAAACCTGATTGTTAGACACCTGCGTGATACCCTAAATTCGGGTTTAGGGTTTTAGGGTTTAGGGTTTAGGGAAACTCTATCATTTGTTGTTTCTGGTAACCCTAAGCCCTAGATAAGCTAGAGTCTAAACTCCTTAAAGGGGTTATATAAGGGAATATATAGAGGGCTATGACTATCACAGGGCTTATTAAGGGGGATGCTAGGAGTTTAGATTATAGCTCATAGACCCATAATATGGTAACTCAGGGTACCTGGACTCTGACAAGAAGAGGACTGCGGCAAACACAGGCCCCAAATTAGAGCCCTGTAACTATCATATGATTCGGACAAGGTCCTAATCTTGGGAATTGGTGGTTACCAAAACCCTCTAAACCCTAAGCCCAAAACCTGCTCTAGTTAACTCGGGCTTACAGAAGCAGGACAAACCCCAAACCCATTAATCCA